GTAGACACCTCAGAAATCTCGAATTATAAGCAGCCAGTGTGTCTTCTTTACTTTCGAAACTCATATATATTTTCAGCCTATTAATTTTCCTTTATTAAGGAAAATTAAGTATTTCCAAGTTTATTAAGGAAAATTTATTATTTCCAAGTATTCTTGGAAACAGGTAACAATCACTAGGGGCTAGAATTAGAAAAGTCAAGTGTACTGGCAGATGTGAGCGGCGCTGCGTTGTGATGACAGAGAAGGTGCCAGATTCCTGATTTTGATAGCTTGTTACACCAACCTGATTATACTTTTCAGACACAAACTGTCACATAGCATCCCGTCTTCTTCTTTTAAATTATGGCTTCTCTTGATAGAATTTTGCCAGTGTCACAGCTAGAGTTAACCGTCTCTCGATCCACTAGTGTCATAATAGCAACATGAACCGTATTGCAGAGAAACCAAGATACCATTTATTTCCATGAGATTCGCGCGACATTTTGTTGGAGTTCAAAGCACCTGGTAGTGTAGAATCTCACACGACAAATTGTTTTAATATTTTAGGAATAGTCTAATTAAAGTCTTAGAACGAACAACACGTCTCTAAGTGGCACCTACAACATCACACACCATATTATAATCGACTGCCGCTTTGTTTCGAGATCATTGTTATATACATAGCCTGACGCCTGTAAACCCCGATGCGGAGAGCAAAGTCCTGCTCTTTGCACAGAAGTGAGAAGTGGCTAGTCCATCGCTTAAACAATCACAAATCTAATATCCTATTAGTCGCCTTTTACAAAATCTTATGCAAGTTACACAGTTGGCACATTTTTTTTTGTTATGAGTCCCACATAAACATGAATCTATAAATCCTAGACCAACATGGGACTAATCCACCTCTTAGATCATTATTATATACCTTTGTTTTACCGCCAGTCTGTACAATATTGTGAATTTGTTTTTGCCACTCGACAGTCTTTTTTATCATCTTTCAAGCTCCTGTGTAATTCGTCGATTTTCTCTATTACATTCTTCAAGATTTTTTAGAGTGACCATACTTGGCGGCTGATCGACTGCTTTCTTTGTCTTTAAATTTTCCCACATTTCTATTGAATTTAGTAAACGAATAAAAATTGTTGTTCGTGAACAAGCAAAATTATTAAAAGTAGTAGAAAAATTTTCATAATATTCTTTTTTATCGTCGCAGTAAATTATAGCGAGAATCATGTCGATAGAACTCCATTGCTACGAGCGAATTCCCCCAGGTTATTACGAAAAAAATTAATACGTTATGTGTTTCATACAAACCTTTTTCGTATAATTCTCACGAAAAAAGTTTGTATGAAACGCATAACAATTCATATTCAAATTAATTTTATTTTAATTCATATTAATCAGTAAATTCTTTAGGTATGCCACTTTTTAAGAGATTTTAGGTTAAAAAGTTAAGTACAGTTACAGTTTATATACGTCACACCGCTGGGCACATACCTCCCATCATTAATGAGAGGGTTAGTTCGCCGCTCTGCAACATTGCTTGTTGGTGGACAATGTCTTCGAAATATTTCGCAGACATGCAAGTTTACTCACGATGTTTTCCTTCACCGATGGTCACGTGGTAAATCATCACTTTCAACTGATTGGTGAGCCCGTAAAGGACAATGTCCAAAACCGCCCTGTGTAATAAAACCATCGGACATACACGATAATTAATTTTGTATTTTATTATATTAGTTGCAAATACTTTTATAACACGGACTAGCTGCATGCAAAAATGAAGATTAAAAAGTATTATATTCGACTAATAACATTAATCGCCGCCATCTTCGCCAAACATCATGTGGTGTCGAAAAATGATTAGGGATGCCCAATCGATTGTAATCGATTATTGAATTTTTAATGAACTGTCGTATATTTTTTTAATCTGAATTACATTTTAATTTATTTCGAATAAAGTTGCTAAAAGAAGCTACAATAAAAATATTATATTACCATTTCTTTATATTCTTTTATATTATTATAATTTTAAAAACCTACTATACCTATTGAATGTCGTACTCGATTTTGAATAGGTAATTATAATATTGCTGAAGAAAAATATTCGTAAAGATAATTATTCAGGATTTTCTAATGATCGTTTAGACAGGAGTATATTTTACGTCTTACTAAACGATAACTTACGAGTTTACGCCAATTAATTAAAAAAAAAACTGTTATCGTTACTGCATTAATTATAAATGTGTTTTTTTTTTAAGAGCAATATTGCAGACTAGATACAGATATTATTATTAATATTGTTACAAGTATGGAAGAAGTAGAGACGTACGTGTTATTATAAGTAAAGTAGGACAGTGTTATGGTATTAATATTATCGTATGACGAAAGATGATATATAGATGGTATACTGTTTGTAACGTACGGCTATAATAAATCTTAGGAAATATTCATAACTCGTATCGTATTTAGCGCTCCTATTGCTGATGTCACTAAATGGTCACTTGTCAGTCTCCCATGAAAAAAATACGATCTCCAAATCGATTCAAATCGAACATACTAGAATCGATTTTCGATTAAATCAAGCATTAACAGATCAATTTTTGATCAATCGCGACATTTTCAAACATGCCTAATATAGACACAGAACATTATTGACGATAACTTACCGTAAATTCAAGTAACTGTATAGAAAAATCATTAAATTAATAAACATAACATTACGCCAGTATTTTCCAGAAGGAGTAGGTAGAGGTGTGTAAGTACTGTTATGTTATACATCCCATGTAATAGGTGATGCGCGTATTGCCAAACACCGGACACAAATCCAGACTCCGTGCTATTACTGGGAACTTCAAGTTATAACAACCCAATCATAATTTGCCCAACCCTGGGATCGAACCCAGAACAGAACAATTTTTCTGTCTGTCACAAGGAACAGATGTTCCAACTATGCAAAAGTATTTCTTGAACCGTTTGAAATATAGCTAGTTCTTATAAGTCCGATTCGAGAGGTTTCTGTATCGACATCGGACAAGGATTCTTCAGATCTATATCGATCTGGAAAATTGATTCTGTTACTAAAAACAATCGATTAAACGATTTCAAATGGACATGCCTACTTTGTACCGTCATCTCTAATTCTGTCAAAGTTACATTGGTTGGCGTTGTTTGCAATTGTAATTGTCTTTGTACATAATTGTATCGGTGTTGTGGTGACTTTCGGGACTATATATTGAACATTACGACTTGGCTATTTTAACGGACTCTGATTGCTTTCAAGAACGACTTACCTTGTTGTGATTTTTGGAACTGTGTACCACTCAAACGATAACCTAGCATTCATAAACGGACTTACGCATACGCAATGGAAAGTGTATTATGTGTAAATAGCGGCTCTGCTGGTGGTACAATATTGTTAAAGATGAACAGAGAAGCAATCGTGCAATATTGCTGTAATTGCATCGTTGTACGCAGAACCATCGGTTGCTGCGCCCATGTCATGACTATTATTTGGTACTTGAGCTTTACGAGACATCAAAATAATATCGACATCCCTGCACAGTTTTTAGACAATATTCTTATTTCCAATTTAGAAAAAGAACAATAAACATGAAATTAATCTGTGTTTTATTTCTAATTCAAACATAATAAGTTAATGTACGTGTAAAAACAACTTATACTACCAATTAGGTACTAAGTCGGTAGGGCTGGTTTCATAGTCACGCGTTTGAACAGCGCCGTCCAGACGCACACGCTTTCAAATGTACTAGATAGTAGTCTATAATATTCACGCCACAGAACACCTATATTAAGTGTTCTGTGATTCACGCTGTTCATGCGCGCGCTGTTGAAACTTGGTTGAAACCGTGGTTGATACACTCGCTGTTCGACGGCATGTCTAGCGTCGTGACTGACAGCCTAAATCCTTATACATTTAGGTACTAGGTATCTTACCGTACCGTATATGCTAATGACAACATCTAAATACTAACAGCCATTATATACATATGTTTTTATTTTTACATTAATATACACAAACATTATCTCTCATTTCAAAACCAATGCTCAGAAAGCAGGTTTGTTAACTACATTCTATGCATTTATACGTTGCACTTACATACACTTAGGCTTTAAAACATAAAATTGCATACCTAATTATGTAGATAGGTACTAGAAATAGCTAAATGTTTTAGGACATCGTTTTTCAGTTTGTTAAAAATCACTCGGATCTATGAAAAACCGTAATATTCATGGTTCGATTATAACCTCAAAATCTGATACTTTTTTTGAAATATATCTATTATGCAGCTAGTCCGCTATAAAAATAAGATCAAATAGGAATTTACTAATGATCAACAATAAAATACATAATTTTCCGATGCTCTTGGTTCCAGGGCGAACAATGTATGGGCGGAGAGCAATGTCCTTTTGCTCACGTACCGTGAAATTTATAGCCTCTAAGTTACCATTGATACTAATAAAATATCTTGTATTTAAACATTGTGCACTGATCTAAGTTTAATTATCATCTAGAATATTATAATATTTAGTCTCTTGAGTATTGTAAAGGCGACTAAAACGTAGTGGTTATGTTATACTCCCCGGAGGCAACTATGGCAAATGTCATAACAATCTTATGGCTTCCGATAGGTGGCACTATGACCATCGCACTTACATTAGATGTAAAATATACAGTGATGGGGAGCAGTTTACTGCGAAAACAAGCGTTCACGATTCAGGTAAACTCTCTTTCCAGCGGCCTTTGAGCAGCTAGTGGACTTTTATGGGCCGATAAAGAAGGACAAGAATTCAGTCGGCACTCTTATGACTTGTGATAGTTGTTTAAATTGTACAATGATACTATCATAGAATAACAGACAACATTATGTTATTCATAGACTAGTGTATGTTATTAAACTAATTACGTGACTTAAGGTAATAATTTCTGTTATCACTGCGTATCAGTGTTTTTATCTCATACATATCTGACTTTATCCAAACATATAAACTATAATGTTGTTTCATAGTGTTTTGTTTGAAAGCGCGTGTTGTTTCAACATGATTTATTTTGCTCTAATAATTTTTGTCCTCGTAGTTCTGTACTGTTACGGCACGAGAACTTTTAAATATTGGGAAAAGCGAGGAGTCAAACATGAAAAACCGATACCATTTTTCGGCAACAGCTTAAGTTTGTATTTTGTACAAAAGAGTATTACGCAGGTGGCTGCTGATCTCTACTGGAAATACCCTAATGAGAAAGTCGTTGGTTTCTTTGATTCCTGTAAGCCGGATTGATAATAAGAGAACCAGAAATAGTGAAACGCATCCTTGTAACCGAGTTTCTACCCAAGAGGTTTAAATACTCATAAAACTGTCATCGAGCCTTTGTTGAAGAATTTAAAGAATTTATTCTTCACTGATGGGGACGTTTGGAGGTTGTTAAGACAGTGTATGACTCCAGCGTTTACATCAGGAAAGTTGAAAGCAATGTTTCCTCTCATTGTGTAACGCGCCGAAAGGTTACAAAATAAAGCGATTAATGCTACAAAAACCGGTCGAGTCCTGGATGCCCGTGAGATAATGGCCCGTTATACTACAGATTTTATTGGCGCTTGCGGTTTTGGCTTTGATGCAGATTCTCTTAGTGATGAGAATTCAGCTTTTAGAAAACTTGGTGCCGAATTTTTCACATTTGGTTTCAGTGAAATTTGTATACGAATACTCAAAGAGATGTTTTCTGGAGCATGCAAACAGTTGAAATTATTAGGGAAAATAGAAAAAGATATGACCAATCTGGTTAAAAGTATTATGCAAGAAAGAAATTATGGGCCATGCGGTAGGAACGATTTCATAGATTTACTCCTTGAGTGTAAGAAAAAGGAAAGATGATTGGGGAATCTATAGAGAAAACAAAAGCTGATAGTACTCCTGAAAAAGTTTCTTTAGAGTTGGACAATTTGCTTATAACTGCTCAGGTATTTATATTTTTTGCCGCGGGTTTCGAAACTTCATCTTTAGCAACTAGTTTTACTCTACACCAGCTCGCATTTCATCCACAAATCCAAAAAAAAGTACAAAAAGAAATCGACAACGTTCTATCAAAGTATGACGGCAAGCTTTGCTACGACGCGATAAAGGAAATGAAATACTTGGATTGTGCCTTTAGAGAAGGTATGAGAATGTTCCCGTCCTTAGGATTTTTGGTTAGAGAATGTGCATGGAAATATACATTTCCAGAAATTAATCTGCGTATTGATGAGGGGGTAATTGTAATTATCCCATTACAAGCGATGCATAATGATCCACAGTATTTTGAAAATCTAAACCATTTCAGTCCAGAGCGCTTCTTGCCTGAAAACGTTAATTCTAAAACCAAATACGTATATTTACCGTTAGGCGATGGACCTCGAGCTTGTATTGGTAAGTCAAATGTACTTAATTGCAACTTTACACCCTATAGAATTTTTAATTTTTTTCTTTTGGTAGTTGTTTCGTTTCTTTTATTAATAGTTGAAATATTTATTGATAGTGAACTTTAGTTTAATTAATTAACCAAAGTTCATTACATAATATCACATTATATTTATCATCATCATCATTATTACAGCCCTTCACAAGTCCACTGCTGAACATAGGCCTCCCCCAAGGAATGCCACAAAGCAAGGCCCTGAGCCACCTGCATCCATCGACTTCCTGCATATCTTACCCGGTCGTCACTTCATCTAATGGGGGGACGCCCAACACTTCGCCTGCTGGTACGAGGCTGCCACTCGAGAACCTTTTTTCCCCATCGGTTGTCGGTTCTTCGAGCTATATGGCCGGCCCATTGCCATTTCAGCTTACTAATCCGTTGGGCTATGTCGGTCACTCTGGTTCTACTGCGGATATCCTCATTTCTGAGTTTATCACGCAGAGAAACTCCGAGCATAGCCCTCTCCATAGCTCGCTGAGCGACCTTGAGCTTCCTCATCCGGCCAGCAGTGAAAGACCACGTCTCGATTCCGTATGTCATCACTGGCAACACGCACTGGTTGCACAGTCTCGTTTTTAAGTTTTGAGGTATACCTGACGAGAAGATTTGCCGTATTTTCCCGAACGCTGCCCAACCGAGTTGAATCCGTCAATTGACCTCTCGGTCGAAGTTGGACTTACCTAGTCGGACCGTTTGTCTCAGGTAAACATACTCATCAACAACTTCGAGCTTAGTGCTCCCAACAACTATCGGCATAGGTGTGACATGGACATTAAACATGATCTTTGTTTTGTCCATGTTCATCTTAAGACCTATCTGTTGGGAAACACTATTGAGATCATTGAGCATAGTGCTTAGGTCCTCCAGCGATTCTGCCATAAGTACTATATCGTCGGCAAATCGAAGGTGAGTGATGTACTCGCCATTGAAGTTGATACCGTATCCTTTCCAGTCCAGAAGCTTGAAAACGTCTTCCAATGCAGTACCAGACGTTTCGCACCTTCGATACTGCTTCAAGTTGGTCGTCTGGGATACTACGTCTGATGTTAACAAGATTCTCATACTGACATCTACCGGAAGCTATAACATCGTTTTGGAATTTTCTATAGTCGCCTCTTACGACACCCACAGTTCCAAACGGGGTGATATATTCTCGTGAGCCGGCAGCTCAACAATGGTTACCCTTTTATTTATTTTTATTGCAAGTGAAATATGTTTTCAAACATTGGCTTCAGGCTTAACATGTACTTTTTACTGGTATCGTTTTAATTTGGGTTTCTTTAGATTTTTGAACTAGATATGATACGAGTATACTATCCGTATAACCATGGATGAATTATGCATGAGGTCTGTGGCTCATATTTGTGGGAGCGGCTTCAGTTGTTACGATCAGCCAACTTATGACTGAGTGTTATAATGATCAGTTATTCAATATACAATCTAATATTTTATTGAAATGAAATGGAAATTTTAGAAAGTTCTTAATTTATTAAAGATGTAAAAAATTTATTCTAATAGCTAATTAATTTTTAAAATCTAGAAGATAATGGATTTCCGCAAAGTAACGCCTGATTGTATTGATTGTTCTTACCTTATCTTTTGTCTAAATATTGTGTTTATACATATTATTACTTATATTCTATGGAATGGTATCTTTTGGAGAATCCCATTCATTAATTTTAATTGTTTTGCTTGAAAAGAACACAAGTTATTATATGATGAAAAAGCATAGATTGCACTTTGGTCTTGATAATATTATAGCATCAATTGATTTACTTTTTTACAATTTTTTCAGGTGAACAATCACTAGCGGGCCTACCAGTTATACTATCTCCATATTCAGTTGAGCCTGCTCCAGATACCCTTAGATATCCTGTTGTGAACCCTACTTCAAATATTGTACAAAGTATAAAGGACGAACTGCTTCTGCTTCTCTAAACAATTTAGAGAGAGAACTGATTAATTCTATTGTATCGTTATGTTTAAATATTAAGTTATTTTTGTCTAATAATTTATATATAGCAATCATTTTCATTATAAATTATCAAACAAGTATTTGCTTATTATCGGTCAACTTATTTGTGATGTAATAATATACTCTAGACCGATCTATACTTCAAAACACCTGTATTCAGTATTGGACTTTCACGAGTTGAAATAAGTGTCAGAAATTTTAAAAAAATAAGAGCACTTTTAGTCTATACCGTGTCTGCTAGTGTAAAACTGGTTTTCATAAGGACTTAACCTTATTGAATATCTACTTTTTTTCTTATCGGCTTCTTCTATTTAATAAATAACCAAAGTGGTCTTATATCATTCACGAGCTACGAGATGAAATGGTGTGGTGATCCTTCACCTTATAATACACTTAATCAAATGATTTCACCACTTATATGTACTGCTAAGTGAATGAAAATCGCGGGTTGTAATTTTTTTTTTCTTTTAACAAAAAAACGTTAAATATTAACATTGGATTCATTATTTAAATGTTTGTACAGTAATCAAATAAACTATGTTCAAAGGGGTAGCGGCTTTTCTGCGTTGTGTATTTTTTTATAGAATACGGATGACAATGAGCCCACAGCTTTTATTTTTAGTTGTTAGCAGGAAGACGCTGCTGATCTTCTCAAGTTTCAGTTTCCTTCTGCCGCCTCGTACGACTCCCACGGGATGATGTGGGGTAGTGGATATTCTTACACAACTATTACACGGTCGTATATAATATAATAACATTATATATACAAAATGGAAAACTATGACAGACCCATTGGTAACTAAAATGTTTTATGATGCATTCAAAAATACCTTAAAAATTTGGAGCTTACCATTGCATAGCGAAACCGAGCAGAACAGGCTCCTTAAGCAATACATGTTCATAAGTATGACATGTGGCACATATGTTAACGGCCATAAAACCAAATAATAATAATAAATAATAATAAACTTTATTTTTGACATAAAATATTACAGTAAATGTTTCATTGAATCCATAGGCTCCCAAACTAGTGTAAAACTGTGTTTCAGGAGCCAGTGGCTTCTCCCATAACATTGTATTATTAATTTATGCCTTAACATAACATTATAACCTATTAAACGACTCAAAACATGAAAACAAAGTTAAAAAAGAAAAAAAATAAAGGGCTACTCACTAGCGCATTTCTGTGTGTGCGTGGGCGGTTGTGTGTGTGTGTGTGTGTGTGTGTGTGTGTGTGTGTGTGTGTGTGTGTGTGTGTGTGTGTGTGTGTGTGTGTGTGAGTTTGCGTCAGTAGTAAATACCAGTAAACATGTTTTCTACATCTTCATAATCAAGTTGTTTAAGCCATAATAATATATGCTTCTTAATAACGTTATTATTGCAGTCTTTTATATTATATTTCTTATTAAGTCTGTTATATAGGTGTGGAACAATAACGTCAAACTGCTTCTGGGCAAATCTTGTTTTTACTTTTGGAATAGGACAACGGTCAAGCCTTGCAGATGATTTAGGCAGGAAAGGAACAATTTTTTTGTGATAATTTCGTATACTTTCATAAACAAATAATTTTCTAACACTAAGAACGTTGGCTTTATCATAGACATCTGTTGTAGGGTGCCTATAGGGTAAGGAGAATAACACTTTCAGTACTGCACGTTGTGCACGTTCTACAGTGATCAAATATGATTTTGCTGCGGTACCCCATGCACATATACAGTATCTAATAATTCATTCACCAAGGGCTTTATATGTTTGTAATGCTAATTTATATTCAACAACTGTTCTTAGAGTTTTAAAAACATATATAAGTTTTCTTAATCTTGTAGACAAAGACGTTATATGCATTTTCCAATTTATTTTATCATCAATTTCGACCCCAAGGTACTTTATAGAATGTACCCGCGACAAAAAGGAACAGTCACACTCATCAGGTCGACTGCTACGATTGCATGGATGTGTGTGAATTTTAATTCTAATGTCGGTGTCAGGTCCGCCTGATGTTGTCTTGCTGTAACACATGAACTTTGTTTTGTTGGTATTGAGGGATAACAAGTTATTTTCTAGCCATTGCGTCACTATAGAGAGGCAATCCTCTGCAAGTTCCAACACTTGTTGCCAATTTTTATTATGGACGAGTAAAACAGTATCGTCTGCAAACATGAGCAAGTCAAGATTAGGAAAATTAATTTTGCATAGATCATTTATATATAAAAGGAAGAGAGGAGGCCCCAGTACACTGCCCTGTGGAACACCGTAGGTACATCCTGCACTATCACTCTCATGTCCTTCGACCCGTACACGTTGTGATCTTCCGACTAGATAATCCGCAAACCAGTCACGAGCCATGCCCCTGATCCCCATATTCTCCAATTTAGTCAATAAGATAGGGATCGAAACGGTATCGAAAGCCTTCTGGAGATCCAGAAATACACCCATGCACTTGTATCCACCATCAAGGTATGTAGTGATTTTTCTAGTTAGCGTCAGGACTGCGTCCTCGGTTGACTTACCTTCTCTAAATCCAAATTGATTATCACTCAGTAGATTGTTAAGCTCAAGAAATCGCATGAGCCTCTTTTTAACTAACTTCTCTAACACCTTAGACAAAGTCGAAAGGATAGAGATAGGTCTATAATTTGTAGGATTATGGGGATCACCTGCTTTATAAATAGGACAAACAATAGCTTCTTTGAAAGCTGCTGGAAAAATGCCTGTTTCAAGACTCAAATTACATATATGTGCGATAGGATCAGCGAGGAATATTATAAATTTGCTAAGTACTTTAGCTGTGATATTATCACAACCAGGAGCACTATGCAATTTGAGTCCGAGGACCACATTCCTGACCTCAACCGGATCAGTCGGTGTAAGGAACATAGAGTCAACTGATGGGCTAGCAGTATTGCCTAGTACTGCAAGTTCACGATCAGAAGTATTCATCTTCTGTAGGGTATTTTTTGCAAGTATTTCACCGACAGAGGTGAAATATGAATTTACTTCATTCAGCGACTGTTTAGGGTTTTGGCTTATATTTAGTAAATTTTTAGGTCTCTTTGCGACATTTAAATTGCACACTTCTTTTATTATCTTCCACGTTTCTTTTGTATTTCCCTGATTCTTTATTAATTTGCTTTTGTAATATTCTTTTTTTAGATTTTTAATAATTTTGTTACACATATTCCTATATTTTATGTATTTAATCTTTAGTTCTTCATTATCTGGTGACTTTTTGGTTTTCATATGTAATTTATCTCTTTTTCTGATAGATCTTACCACTCCTCTTGTTACCCAAGGTTTGAGAGGTTGGTGCCTCTTGGTAATCGTTTTGATCTGTGAGTGATGTTTAACCAATGATAAAAGTTTATCCGTGAAAAGCTCAGTGGCTGTATTTACATTTCTAGTGTCTAGCAAATCATGCCACGGCTCTTCCAACAGTACTTCTTTAATCCTTTCATAATTAACGTTTATTTTGTTATATTTTAATATATCTTTACTAACTCCAGCATTGCTTATATAAAGCATTATGGGTGAATGATCAGTTATTTGCTGTTCAAAAACTATAGTTTTCCAAGTGCTACAACTTTTGACCATGAAATGATCTATGCAAGTGTTGACTCTAGTTGGACGGTCAATGCCTTGTCTTAAACCGTGCATAGCCATAATATTTAAATAATCTTGTGAGGATGCTGATAAGTTACGTGATAGAATATCTAAATTAATATCACCAGTAAATATTAAATTTTTAGTTGAAATACTAGCTAAAACCGTGTCAATAGATTCTAAATATTTACTAGCATTACGAAAACTAGGCGGACAGTATGAGCATATGATGGTATAATCTGGCGAGATTTTTATTATAAGGCAGTTTCCATCGTTAACGGTTGGCTCATAGCTGGATGCTGTAATTTCTTCTCGGACGTATACAACCACCCCATCATTCTGGTTTAGATATTTTTGCGTCCAGAAAATGTTATAATTATTGAGACTCGGTGGTGGATTACTCGCACTAGTCCAACATTCTGTCAATACAAATAATAAAATGGTGATCGAATCTTGTATTCAACAGTATTTTTAAGGCAATAATAAAGGTTCACGACCTGGTGAGTAATACGAGGCAAAGGTAAAAATATTTTACATTTCACAATAGAGCGAATTATTGCGTTTTATATTTGTTTGTTTATATTATTGCAACTATTAATCAAAAAATAAAAATGAATAATGACACAAATATAAACCTATTTAATTTATGATTATGTACATAATATAAAATAACACTGTAATATAAATAACATGTTGTGTTAAGTCATTAAAGCTATTAAACATCAAAAAAATTGGTAATGAGCATCTCATTCTGTCATCATACTGGGCTCTTTTGAAACTTGTTTCATTGAAATAAATTTAATTACAAATTGGTCGGCAACAAACGTTTTAGAATCTACCTTGAACAAAACTATTTAATGAGATTCGGACGCAGAATCACTAGGTATAAAAATTTTGAACAAGATCAGAGGCGAATGTAATTTTGCACTGTTTCTATTGTTTTACTTTGTATGTGTGTATTTTTATCAAACCGATTTTATCAACGTTTCCTTTTTTTTTCCTACAAATAAAGCAAGTTCCTGCAGAAATTAAATGGCAATATGGTGTAAATGTACATTGCTATAAACGTTTGTGTAATGTTCACTTAGTAACAAATATGAAGATGAAGCAAAAGGGAGGAGAAGAATTAAGAAGTGCATATTAACCTGGATCTGCAATGAACACCGATTTGGAATACCCAGAGATAATAGGGGTGGACCCTTTATTACCTCTAAATAGTATAAAACAAAGTCTATCAGAACAGCTTGCTTATTACATGTGTGTAATAAGTTGCGTCAGTTTCTAACCAATATAAAAATCTTAAAAATTCGCATACCATTCAAAGTAAAACTGATGCTTTATAACTCTCTGGCTGAATCCCATATTCAATATGGTTTGTCAAGTTATGGTCGGACGTACAAATCATATTTAGAACAGATCTATGATCTTCAACTTAGAATTCTTAAAAATATTGTATCCCCAAATATGCGTGTCCTAATTGATGATAATGAAAATGAGATTTTTAAACATTGTAAAATCTTACCAGTTTATGACCAAATTAAATTCATGTTATTAAAGCAATATTTCTTTTGCGATAACATAAAGTCATACATAGATCAACCTGTACGTACGCGCGCTATGACACAAAATCGGCTCCGGTACATCACTGCTAATAATGTCTACGGGCAGCGGACGGCCGCTTATCAGGTACCGCATTTAATAAATAATTTACCTTTCGATTTACGCGAAAAAATTTCACAAAAAAACATTAAAACTCAACTCAAAAGCTTTTTCATATCTAAATTATAATTGCCTACTATATCTACTTACTTAACAATAACATACCTACCTGCCTAGTTCTTACTTTTACCTTGCTACTAATTTAACGAAGTTGTTAACTTACCTTCTTAGTCTTTATATTCTTACTATACATACTAACTACTACCTAACTAACCTAACCTAACAACTTACTTAGTCTGTGTCTTTTTTTTTATAGAAGAGGGGGCAAACGAGCATGCGGCTCACCTGGTGGTAAGTGACTACCGCCGCCCATGAACAACCGCAACACCAGGGGAATTGCAGATGCGTTGCCGGCATTTTAGAAAGGTGTAAGCTCTTTTCTTGAAGGTTCCTAAGTCGTATCGGTCCGGAAAATTCGCCGGTGGTAATTGATTTCACAAGGAAGTTGTGCGATGGAGAAAACTTCTTCTAAATCGCACAGTGGTGGACCGCCAATCATCCAGATGGTATGGATGGTAACGCGAGTTTTGTCGCGATGTGCGATGGTGAAATTGAGCGGCTGGAATTAGTCCGAACAATTCCTCGGAGCACTCCCCGTGATAGATGCGATAAAATACGCAAAGAGATGCAACATCTCTACGCAGTGCCAGTGTATCGAGCCGATCAGAAAGAACTCGGTCGTCGACAATTCGAACCGCTCTGCGCTGGATGCGGTCAAGTGGAAGGAGCTGGCACTGGGGTGCCCCGGCCCAGAGATGAGAACAGTATTCCATGTGGGTCCGAACTTGCGCTTCGTAAAGTTGCAAGCGATGTGCCGGCATGAAATACTGTCTCGCTCTGCTGAGCACGCCAAACTTTTTAGAGGTTTGGCCTTCCCTTCCAAGTGACCACGAAACTGCACACTATTCGATATGTCGACGCCAAGGATTCCGATACTAGCTGAGGCAACAAGAGAAACTGAGGAGATACGACAAAGGGGTTCTTTTTAGCGGTAAACGCGCAAACTTGTATCTTCTGGGGATTGAACTGGACTAGATTTAGTCGGCCCCAATCCGAGACTTTGTTAAGCAAAGACTCGACTTCAGACACAAGTTTGTCCCGGTACTCAGCGACGTTTTCCCGAGAAATATTGGCACGGCCGTTATATAAGGCATCACCAGTGCTGTCGTCTACATAGCAATGAATGCGTACAGTTAGCAACATATCATTGATATGCAGGAGGAACAGCGTTGGTGATAGCGTCTTGCACATAATATGCTGACTTAAACTAAATTATTGAGCATCAAGTCAAACCTCCGTGGTTTTTAGATGTTAATTAGACCTATACATGTATTCTCTTCTTTTGATCTGATAAATAAACTAAAAAATATATATACTCTAAGGTTTCTACGCTAATTTCTACACCACACAACGGATTTTGATACTATTTTCACTGTCAATGAGATAACTTTTTACGGAACACACACACTACCGTACAACACTTTCTCATTAAGTTTTTGTACAATAGAGAAATTTCAATGTTTTTTAAAGAAGTCGTCAAAATATCGATTTTCAGGCGTTTACAGGGCTTGAGCTGGCTAAACGTTAAGAGGGAGAGATACATAAAAATATTTACTAAACAGTTAGTTATAGTTCTTCAAACAGCCTAGAGAAAATTCCGCTAAGGCATATTATGTCCATCTCCGTGTCACAGTAACCAATTTGATCTTTAAAATATTAATTAATAAATTGCTATTCATATATTTACATACATACATAATTTGCACAAGGAGGATCAAAACCCAGAACAATTTTTTTTTTATAGGATAGGGTAACAAACGAGCACACAGTCCACCTGATGGTAAGTGGTTGCTGTGGACCATAGATATCTACATTTATCTTCGTTTGTGAATTAAAGTGCAGATGCGTTGTCAGTCGTGATGTCTCTTTTCCAATCTATTTTTTCTCTTTTACAACCTATCACTAGGGTTGCCACAGCAAAAAAATTACATTTTATTTATCTATTGCTACAATTCCGTCAAATTCTTACCACTCCATGCGCAGTATCCACTAAGTAGTCTGTGGATTGACTGGTAGAGAATGCCTAAAGGCATTAAGTCCGCCCTTTGTATTTTTTTTTTTGTAATAGGGAACTAAATAACATTGCCAGGAAACTTTCGGTGCTCAGATTTTGTGATTTTCTTTTTTGACACTAAATCAACATATTATTTGTGAATTTATGTAAGTCATTTTGGTCCATAAATATATTAATTAACACTTTAATAATACCTTGATTTAAGGCAATTGTTAGTAAATCTATAATCGAATCCTATCATAGGTAAGAACCATCATTTCAACAAAACAAATATTATAATATTTTGTAAACATGACCTCAATAGGCCAATTCGTTTAAATTGTGTAACCAATTTTTTAAATACCTGTCCAATCCGTGAGGACGGCTTTCGGTATAGTGATATGATTTCGTTCATGTAATCTTCTTCAGAGAATAGAAAACCTCTAGAAAGAAAAAATAATAATTACGAATCTACTGCGACAAGCTTAGGCTCTCCGCGCACTAGGCAGCCTGGCTGCGTAGCCAGGCTGCGGCGGCCGAAATATTTGAGCAGCCACTTCTAAACAGCCAATGGACGGCCAGTTGTGAACCTTTCTTCGAGGGATGAGAACGTGGAAGAACTTGTAATTTTGTGCGTATTTCGTAAAAACCGCAAAGCTAAAAGACATTGGATTCATCCTCTTTTTCTAGAACGGCACTTAAAAGGCTTATTTCATAGCTATTTCAAAGATGTTCGTAAATACCCAGACCGGTTTTTTGACTACACGAGAATGTCAGTGCAATCATTTGATACCCTTTAGGAAAATATAAAAAATTCAATCAAGGCCACTGATAATCCTATAGATATATATATATCCCATATCGCTTTACGGTTTTCAATTTCGCGAATAAATTTCTCCGTATTGAAAGTCATTTTGTGGTTTCGGCACACAAAACACACCTGGCTGCTACGACTAGTGCGTGGTGACTGACGGCAGTCGCTCTAGCTCCGCGCAGCCAACGGGCTGCCGTGCAATTGGGCGAGCTTTTATGGCTGCCGCAGCAAGGAGTTCGTGGCTGCTTAGGTGCGCGAGCTCCCATACACCGTCATATGTTCGTCTGGCTGGCAGCCGCAGCCTGGCTGCCGCAGCCAGGCATCCTAGTGCGCAGGGGCCTTAAAGATGCCGTCGCTGAGGACGGTGCTGCCAAAGTTTATTTTAAATATTAAGCAATTTCTTTTGGTAATGTCATATCTATGGTACATATGCACTCATTTTAGTGTGGACAAGGCTTTCTGATTCTGAAGTCAAGTATGAGCGCAATTTTTGTATAATTAGATGGACAGTCGCCCCTGGTGGTGGTGTGCGCGATCTTAAATACAACACTGAATATTAGTAATACTTCAACGTATTTTTTTACAAAACTGAAGTGACACACTAACTTGCAGCCTGATGATACCTCCCAGGACTAGGACGGAATTCCTCACAACCTGTATTTGTACTGGCTCTCTAAACCCTTCAGATTAGAATACAGCAATATACAAAGAAATACATCATGGCACATTAAAAGTCCTACTATCTAATACTAATAATATCTTAGCGAACATCCAATGTTTCACGGCACAAAAATCTACTGATCTTCTAACCAATCTATGTTGTGGATACAGCGCAACGTAATATTATAACATCAAAACAACAATGTAATTTCACGGTCCGGTGCTCTTAATATATTTTCGTAATTAATATTTTTCAATATTCTTCGCTATTGCCTTCCGCTTATCCAGTGAACATCTTTGGCTGATCAACATCTCATTTATTTTATATTAAAATTATGTATTCAAGTCAAAAATAATAAATTAATTATTAGTATTTGAAAGTTTATTTTGAATTTCACAATGCTCTTAGCAGTACTAAGAATTATTCATTTCATGTCAATCTTTACTGTAGTTTTTAATGAACGTAATATAGAATTTAGTGACAATAGATCTACAGAAATAGATTACTCAGAATTAGCAAAACTAGCAGAGAATAATAAGAAAGATGTACTCGGATTTCTAAATGATGAAAAGGTACGCAAGAGATACAGGGAATTGTATGATACGTTACTAGATAATCTGATCGGTAAGTTGACTTTATTAAGAAATAAATCTTGTAGTAAATTTGTTGTAATAGATGCGTCTAGAGGCGGCGTTAGGAAATTCACTACCCCAATTCACCCAGTAGATGTCGTAGGAGGCGACGAAAGGAAAATCTTCCTGATAAAAATGTATGAACAATAAAAGACTACAGTTGCTACTCATGTACCAGGCGTGGCAACTTTAGCAATGACACCTCCTCCTTACTTCCACATCTATCCTTAGTGCCATGACATAATTATAGTATAAAGCTTTTCTTATTTACAGAACTATTAAAAAAATAATGTTCTTACAGGAACAAGGCGAAGAGGTAACTCATACAACTCATTAGAAATACTATACAATTTTAAGCCAGTTAATAATCATAGCGAATACGCAAAATCGACTCGACGTATAGTGTCTGGACGAAACACGTCTATAGCTGCCGTACCTTGGCAGGTCTCGCTAAGAGAAAAGACGTATCCGATATGCGGAGGATCCATCATCACGGACATCTGGCTGATAACTGCTGCTCATTGCTTGATTAAGTTCGTATCGTGTACAGTCTATATATCTTTATATAATAATTCTTTTTTACGTTTGTTTATCACGGAGATCCACGCATTTTTATGAATTTTTATGTGTGAGTGGGTCGCTGGATGGATGAATTCACAATTGCACCCGAGAGGCGCTGCATATATTTTTTTTCATTCTGTATACATTATTTATAGTTTTACAAAATTGATAAAATTCGTGACAGGAATCGCTTGTAATTTTTGCGACACTTATAATAAGGATAACTAGTTATGAGACCTTTTCCACCTGGTAGTCCGTCTGTGTACCACCCTCCTTTTTTTTACATAGGGTAATGCCTATGCATACCCGCCTTGCGGGGGCAAGGACGGGTTATGTCGGACTCACACCGACTAATACCCCTAAACATGGTGTTCCACCTTCACCACATATTGGCAGGGCCACGGGAACGCTTTCGCACACATCCGCGGCCCCACCAGCGCCGGCCGCCCCATGGCAGCTCCTTCTCCGGGGAGGACCTCTCCTCCCCATTCTCCGTCTCAGGCAAGGCGCACCAGGAACACAAGGCACGCCCCCCTTTCCACGGCCTCCAACTCCACCTGCGTATCGGACCCCCCCCCCCCTTGGAGGAGGGGTGGAGGCCATGGGGCCAGGAAAATTGAGCGCTTAAAAGTACCCGCTTTCCGACCTCAGCGGCGGATATGGTCTCTGGCTCCGCCGCCAACCAAGTTTCGGCCGCGGAGGGTAGAGACAGCCTCGCAATACCGACACTCCTCTCTCCCCGCGGCGCCACCACCACCACATCAACGGTGCGGCCCCGTCAGAGTCGTGGAGGATAGGGCGAGTGGCACATCGCCATGCCTCCAGCTCTCTCACCGCAGCCCACCGACACACATCTAAGGTGGACTCGCCAAGCCAACTTGGAGTGGCCACCTCGGGCCAGCCCTACACCACGGGCCAGCCAAGGGGTTCCTCTTTGTTCACCGCGGGTGACCAAGCCACGGCTACTAAGCCGCCTCGACACGACAGGCAGGATCCCGTTCGGGGGGGAGGTACCACCCTCCTACCCATTTCTGCTGCTAAACAGCTGTGCGTGCACTGCTGTGTTCTGGTCTAAAAAAAAGTGCTCAGAGCAATTGCTTGAATTAATTCTAGCTAATTCCACCATCGTACACTGTGAAAGAATTTGAAATTCCATCTTTTTTTTATAGAAGAGAGGGCAAACGAGCATGCGGCTCACCTGATGGTAAGTGACTACCGCCGCCCACGAACGACCGCAACACCAGGGGAATTGCAGATGCTTTGCCGGCCTTTTATCCCATTATCTCTAAATGTAGATGTCAATAGGCCACAGCATCCACTTATCATCAAGTGGACTGTGGCTCGCTAGTCACCCACATTCTATAAAATAAAATTCTCGATGTTTGGTGGTCCACTACTTAAACCATCATTATCCCGGAATTTTCTCCCTCGCACGACCACACTGTAGGGTTTACTGTCGCTGGCGGTTTCTCCGGACCGATACTACTTTTAGGCATCTTCAAGAAAAGAGCCTACTTATTTCTAAGACTTCAGCAACGCACCGGCAATTCCCATGGTGGTTGTGTGAGAGAAGGCAAATGAGCGTTTGCTCATTTGCCTTATCTTCCATAAAATAATTAATTAATAATCAATAATAAGAAACTGTGATTGCTACCCCCCTCCCCCCTCCATATCAAACGTGACAACTATCTCAAATAAACAGCCTATATATAGACTGTAATATATAACAATAGCAACAGATCTCAACGATGAACATCTTCATTAAAATACTAATATCCAAAATTTGTCAACTAAATTTCCATTTCAAACTTCAGAATTTATTCGCATTGTTGTAATTCGAAATTGTCCCAAATGAGAATTCAATCTAAACTGGTTAATAAATTGTAGCGGTCGTCCAAGTTGGAACAATGACTCATCGTTTAAGTCCGGCCCTATAGAATTACTTTCCATTCCATATTTTCGTCTCCAGTGCTCACAATGAGTTGTTCAAGAAACACAAATGGCTTTAGATGAAAGCCTTGTTACATCGTATTGAATGCCACGAGCGTTTTGCAACTCCGACTGGTCACTGCGTAACAATAGGGCTATGAAAGTTATAATGGGATTATTTCGTTGAAATTTGCCACAAATATGAAAAGTTATTATATTTGAATTGGTTAGTTTAACGCGTTTGAAAGCGTTCCAAACTGCTTAATCTACTGTCAAGAAATTAATTCATATATTTTTGATCATTTTAGAGAATCGGAGACCTTTTCTACTGGAAACGAGGCATTTCATCTTAGTACTCAAGGGTAACGACGCATCTGCATTTTGATTCTTAATTGAGGACAGATGTATCGTCGAATCATTTTAAATCTGATGTGAAACGGAAGGTTTGTCACGACCTACCGGAATTTATAACATTTTTTCTGTGATTTCTCATATTTGCCTCTTGCGACATCTACAGGATGAAAAGGCGCGGTGGATTCTCTTGAATCCCCACCATACGTGCATTAAGCTGGTGTTTCACGCTGGTATTCTTTGAGAGTGTGTTTCCATCTCCGGCCGAGCCCACACTTTCGTGCTACATCCTTATAAATTTTATACATGGTAGAGCCATGCTGCAGCTATATTAGTAGTATAGTTGTGCACGAATCCCGGTCGGCTCGACCGGGGAAGGACCACGCTCTCACAGAATACCAGCGTAAAATAACAGCTTAACACTGCTGTGTTTCGTATGATGAGTGTAGAGAACCGGAGACCCTTTTTACTGGAAAAGAGGCATTCCATCTTAGTCCTCACGGCTGACAACGCATCTACATTTTGATTCGCAGACGAGGATAGATGTAGATGTCTATGGGCCACAGCAACCACTTACCATCAGGTGGACTGTGTGCTCGTTTGTCACTCTATCCTATAAAAAAAATATAGCTGCAGCGAAGCTCTGCCACGTATAAAAACGTTAATATTCCTTGCAACTGGAGACGCCCAACTCCAGAAGACGGCTTTTACTGCACTTAAGAAGAAGAAAATAATACCTCCATACGTAAATACACGAAGGAAAAAAATTCTTGCTTATTAGAGCACGTGCAAATGAATTGAGTGTGCGCCTTGGTTCATCCTGGAAGACACACGGCGGCGAAATGTACGACGTTAGAGAGTGCTACTATCACCCACGTTACAGCAGCAAAACGAAGATCAATGATGTGGGTCTGGTGCAATTGTACTCTCCACTTCGCTTCTCAGCTAGAATACTTCCTATTCGGTTGGTTGCGAGGGAATCCAGACTTCCCGCTGACCAGCCAGCTGTTGTCTCCGGGTGGGGAAAGCTACAGGTATCATTTTTAATGTAAAAATAGAGAAAATAACATCACTTATCTAATAAATACTAAAGGCCTTACTCATAAAACTCGAAAACAATGAATAAGAAAAATAAAAAGATTTTGGAACAAGCCAACATAACAATGGTACTAAAAAATTTATAAAACAAATTATGCACCAAATTTCACATATTTGAAAAATTACGTACAGGATTATTTTGCAATAACCTGCCAAAAAAGGCAAATAGTGAAGAAAAAATCAATTTAAAAAAATCTTAAATTTTCTTACCTTTTTATTTTTAAATTGAATATTTCGTAATGCATTATTTTAACTGATTGTCACTCATAAATATCTAACGCCTACTATTCGCACATGAGTAAAAAACGGAACAGAGACAAAGCTTCCGAAGAACGTGCAAAATTGTTACCTATTTTGGTAGGGTTGTCACAATAGGTGAAGATAAATTAACAAAACAATATCCATCATATTATTGCATTGTCACTGAAGTTACGGTATACAAAATTTCAACTCAATCAGACATCGGGAAGTGGTTCATAACTTACTTGCAATATGTGAACTCAACTCACATAGCTACGACATACCAACTCACCAACATACCTAAAAATGTTTAGTAAAAGCTTATAATAACAATAAAAAGGTAAAAACACCATGTAGTACCCTCTTCTTATTAAGAAATGGATCATATAATAAAATTACGCTACTTACTTACCTTGGGATAGATAATTTCTAGCATTATTCATACACACAGTACAATAAACAACCATTATTAATAATACCACGTTTTTACATTAAAATACCTTGAGGTTATTGTCCACTGACTGTGCCAGCGTAACCGGTTTTTTCCAGTCTCGCCGCGTACGCGACAAGCGGCCAGTGGTCACGCAAACATGCCCCGCGTTCTTGTAGTAAGTGCAACCGATTCGCGTGGTTGTATGAAGCTTTACCTCTGTTCCGTTTATCTACTCATGTGCTACATACTCGTAAGGGTCGATCGGTCTGCAAAATCTTTGTGTAAATAAGCAAAATAAAAAGATTTTGAAACAAAACCAATATAAAAATAATACAAAAAAATATAAGACAAACTATGCATTAAATCGCAAACATGTTTGAAAAATTATATATCATTTTTTTATATAATGTGACTAATGATAACTTGAGTTAAATAAGACATTAAAACTATGAGAGAGAGACATTAAAACCTTCGGGAGTGGTGTGAATTTTGGCGAAAAACCAACAAAAAAACTATACCTAGGCTATATACAACATTTAACGTAATTAACACACACCCTCAGACACCCCAATTAGTATGTTATGTTATAATCATAATACATACACTGACTTTTTAGTTAAACATGTTTAAGCATTGATTATTTATTGAATTAGTTATACTAATTCCGGAAAAATGTTGTGGTCACAGTACAAATCCATGAACGCACGACGCGCGATTGTTTACGTTAAAAAATACCTAGCTATGAACATTAACCGATGTCTGAATGAACTCCGAGCACATGAGTAAAGAAACCGACCAGAGGGGAAGCTACATACCAACGGCTCGCTGCGGGTACACCCATACATAGCGCAGCGATGTGTGCGTGAGCTCTCACCGACAGGTTCTCCGATGCTCCGTCGGGGTAGAAACCGGTTTGCGCCAGCTCAGTCGGAGTGTGAATGAAAGGGCTGTTGGTCACGCGCATTGAAATAAATAGACGAATAATATTGCGTGATTTTATAGATCTATAAATTTACATTTTTTTTACAATTAGAGTTAAGTTTAGAGTTTTTTTACTATAAAATAAGACATTATAGATTTATATATATTTATATTAGATAATTAGTATTCGTATAAGCTAAATGCCTAAGTTGTACAGTATGTATGAAAATTTGAGGAAAATAATAACAATAGCCAGACAGTGGTGCAGTTAGTGTTAGTGGTAGTAGTGCTGGTGATGGTGATGGTGGACGGTGGTGCTGATCGTGCGGTGTTGGTGGCGGTGGATGGTGCTGCTGATCGTGCAGGTAATGGTGTCAGTGATTGTGGTGGAGCTGGTAGTATCATTGGTGGTGGTAGTGGATAGTGAACCACTACTGGCACCACCACCACGACCAGCATCACCACCACAGCCCTTACTACCGCCACCATCATCCTGGTAGTGACATTGGTGGTGGTGGTGTATCAACACCACAACCACCACCACTGCCCACTACCATCATCACAGTCATTACTACTGCCACCTGATTTTTTGTACTCATGAATACGTTGTCTTACGAAAATCATATTGATTGAAATATAAATATATGTAATGTGAAGCTAAGCATGAAAATAAGCAAAATATAAAACTTTTGCAGTTTCAATTTTAATTACAAATAACAGACATGTTATTATATTGACGTTACAATGAATACACATGTTGTTTTATACTATTAATTTTTTTTTCCTTAAAATTTTCACATGCATTAGGTGATAATCCTATCAGAATAGGTATAGATTTTCGACGTTGATAGGAAGCTTCCCCTCTGGTCCTTACTTTTTACTCTGTGCTCCTAGCATCCAGTTGTTTATTTAAGTCTAGTAAACATTTGATTTTTATCTTTCCATCACACTTTTCAGGCTTTGGACAGTGGACTCTGAATAATTTTGATTATTGATTATGATACAATATTAAGAGGCAATATTCGTTACAAAATGTTATACATTAGTATTACATTTTAATTGTAATTTTAAATAATAATGAATTACTAAAAATAAGAGGCGATACGACAACATAATTCATAGATGGCATTTAAAAAAATGTGAATCAAGATATTTACAATAATTTAAAAAATCAAATACTTAACATACTAATAGACTACTCATGCAACGTTGTATTTTTAATACACTTTCAAAATGACAACCACCTTGTTCGATACATTTTAATGGCAGTTTTGTTAATTGATATTTTAATTTAGAAAGCACTTCAGTGTCATTTTTCACTATTCCAAAAGCGTTCACTCTATGCGTTCACTATACTATTTTTATATCCTCGGCACTTGTCTTACAAAAACAAAGTAATCAACTGTTTTGGGAAGTCACTGGTCAGCCGTGACCTATCGAAACTTATCGCGTGACTAATATTGTTTACATTTAAGTTAGCTTTCATCGTAGCTGCGCTAGTGTGAAGCGCCAGCGCCGGCATCATGCTATCTCGCTTGAAATAAGGTTAATTTTTCTTTTGTATTGAATAACGGAATTTGTATTAATACAAATAAAACTGCACTTTCAAAAGTCTTATTGCCTTGAGTTACGGTCCATTTCTGTTTGTTTTGACTGTACAATTTACGTAGTTTTAATAATTTTGCGATAAAAAATTAGCTATATTAAAAATTATAGAAATCAATTCAGTAAACTATTCTGAACAAACTACTTTCAGGATGTGCGTTAATTATGTTACGTGTTGTATATAATGAAATTAAGATTTTCTTTTTTTAGGAAGGGGGGCCTAGTGCTACATATCTTCAGTCCTCCACTGTAAAAACCATTGCAATGAAGCTCTGCCGAAGATCGGGGCTTCATAGAAAGGCTATTGATCCCGCTTCTATGTTTTGCGCTGGATCTATCAGTGAACCTTCACCTGACGCTTGTCAGGTATTAAGTATAATTTTACTTTTTTTACTCTTAAGTTAAAATAGTAGCATAATGATGCCGTGTTTCAAATTGTAAGTGGTGAGAACTGAATACTCATTTTCTGGACTAAAACTAAAGGCCTAGTTAAAAGATACGTGGTGGAGCCATGCTGCAGTTATATTAGTAGCATAGTTGTAGAACAAATGGGTCGGCTCGACCGGGGAAGGACCACGCTCTCACAGAATACCAGCGTAAAATAATAGCTTAATGCTGCTGTGTTTCGTATGGTGAGTGTAGAGAATCGGAGACCCATTTTACTGGAAACGAGACATTCCACCTTAGTCCTCACGGGTGACAACGCATCTGCATTTAGATTCGTAATCGAGGATAGATGTAGATGTCTATGGACCACAGCAACCACTTACCATCAGGTTGACTGTGTGTTCGTTTGTCACCCTATCCTATAAAAAAAAGAACTAAAAAGAATAAAATAATTTTAATATAACTGCTTCTGAATTCGGGGCTTTGTTTCTTCTATACGCTATGCCTTAGCACCGACTTCTGAAGCTTTTATGTGGAAATTATTTTATTGCTTTTAGTGTGCAGCCGGCTTTTACTATTTTTACTTAAATGTTTTAGTTAATACACATTTGCAATTTACTTTTTACTCAGGGTGATAGCGGAGGTCCATTAGTTCAAGATGGCGTTCTTATAGGCGTAGTGTCCTGGGGACTGGGCTGCGCACGTGGAAACTTCCCTGGTGTCTACACGAGACTATCTAATCCTTTAATTTGGGACTGGGTTCAGAATCTAATTATAAAGAAATCGGATAAAAATTAATAATGTCTACAATACATTGAGAATGTTATTATTTTCTTTTCAACGATAAATGAAAAAACAACCATGCTCCGAAAACTTTCCCACGTGATAAAAACCAAAAGTTATTCTTTATAAGCTTATAAAGAATCGACATCGAAGTTGACAGTTAAATAACAACCTGGACATAGCGCATCCTTTTATTTTGTGGAAAATGACTATACACACACGCCTCCTGGGACAAGGACGGTTTATGTAGGACCCGCAAAGACTTAAAACCAAGCAGTTTCAGCCCAGACGTACTCCTGGACATAAAGAGAATCCTACCAAAAAGATATCCTGCTTGATCCTTAGTGAAGGACTCTGGCATTCAATTTACTCGTTCTGGCGTCCCGTTACTAGATGTGCATTACTAGGGCGAGGGTATCTGCCCTGCAATAACCAGCCCAGTGGGTTGATTATGCTTGTAAAGACCTATATTTGGTGGACGTGTAAAATTCGCTGATGTGATGTAATATGAATTAGCATATCTTTGAGAAGAAGTATAAAAGTACCCCCTAAAATCATTAAACCCCGTGTAGTGGCGGGTAAGAATACCCACTAGCTCATAACTTCCCGTGGGTATCGTAAGAGTCGACAGAGGGAAACTGAAGTAGAAGATGGGCAGCAGCATCTGTCTGATAACAGCAAAACAACAATAAAAAAACTGCGGTTGCCAATCCACTCGCCAAGCGTGGCAACAATGGCAGATATACCCACATGAGCAACGACACTAAAAAATGGCCACCAGTCCCCGGCGGTCCCGCTATTCCTGGCTACATTAGCGACCATGGTAACGGTGGGTCAGAGCCAACTGTCAAAGCTGAATACCGAGTGTGGCAGCATCGTTTCCTGGACAACTGAGATTTTGAGTGAGATTGAGAGGTTCTATGGGCAACTGTTACGTTAACGTTATCGTTGGGGCCACACGCAAGTGTGAGTAACGATGCAAGAGCGAGTCTTATTCGATACTATTCCGAAGATATCCCGGACGTCAGTCTGAGCGAGATTAGAATGGCTCTCCAGCACCTTAAAAACGGCAAGGCCCCAGGAGAGGATGGAATTACAGCAGAGCTTCTGAAATCGCGTGGAAAACCGGTACTTAAAGTCCTTCAGAAGCTCTTTAATTCCGTCCATCATGGTGGCGCTACTCCGGCGACGTGGAGCCGAAGTGCGGTGGTCTTGTTCTTCAAGAAAGCGACAACATTCTCTTGAAGAACTACAGGCCGATTTCCGCGATGACCCGCGTCTACGTGCTGTTTTCGAGAGTCATTACGGATCATCTCGCACGCAGACTTGACGACTTCCAGCCTCTCGAACAAGCTGGTTTCCGAGAAGGCTTTAGGACCATAGACCACATACACACCCTTTGGCAAATTGTACAGAAGACAGAAGAGTATAATCTGCCACTTTGCCTTGCGTATGTGAACTATGAGCAAGCTTTTGATTCCGTCGAAATTTGGGCGGTGCTGCACTCCCTTCTGCGGTGCCAAGTCGACTGTCGGTATATAAAAGTGCTGAAGTGTTTTTAAATTAAGGCTACGATGGCTATCCGAGTACAGAATCAGAATACGAAACCTGCAGAGAGGTGTAAGACAGGGTGACGTTATATCCCCGAAACTCTTCACCGCTGCATTGTACGACGTTTTCAAGCTACTGGACTGGAAAGAAGAACAAAAAATAACAGAATGCGGTATTAACATCAATAGCGAGTACATCACTCACCTTCGATTTCCCGACGATATAGTCCTTATAGCAGAATCGCTGGAGGACCTAAGCACTATGCTCAATGACCTTAATAGTGTCTCCCAACGGATAGCTCTTAAGGGGCTACTCCATGCGAACGACCTTGAGCATTTTGCCGGCGGCGCACCGCTCGCTTCAATATATTGCCCTATTGTAGGTAAGAACGTAGTATTATTTTTTCAACATCAATAAACTAATTTATGGAAATACACACAGCGTACAACGATAAATGTATTTTAATTTTTTTATTCGATATATTAGTTGCATTATATTAGAATTATGTATTTTCATATATTATCTAATTATGAAATTTTATAATTAATTATATATTAAAAATGAAGCATTGAAAATTGTGAGTTTAAAAGATACCTATTCACTATAGGTAAATAAATAGATAGCTCGCCTTTTGTACAAATATTTGGTGCAATAAAGAATAAATAAATAAATAGGATGTTTCGTAGATGTGTTTTTGATTATTATTAATTTTTACGAGTCACGTATTGAAAAGTAACAGTACCTATAAATTTTTGAACTGAGCACCTTGTAACTTAGCCTGCTTATTACTTATGCTGGCAGACATTATCCTCGCCCCAATGATTGATGAGGATGAAAATCAATTTTATTTCTACATACGTAATTATATTTATTTATACATAAGGGTAACTTTAATAAAGGTAATACAAAAATCAACAAGAAGTATAAGGGTTCAATCTTTCAATTTCAATTGTAAAAAAACGTTACCCCAACACTAGGATTTTCTCCTGTGTCGTGGAGGCAGTTTACAAACATAAATTGCACAAGGACAAACATCCAGACCCGGAACAATTATTTGTAGGCCATACAAATATTTGTTCCGTGCGAGATTCGAACCCGCGGCCCCCAGCGCAGCAACTGATTGCTAAGCCACTGCGCCACGGAGCCGTCGCCGGATTATAGCTAAAGTGACCATACGTCCCGTTTTGAACGGGACTGTCCCTTTTCTCGGTCACCTGTCCCATTGTCCCCAAACAAAGCTCCGGGACACAAAATTGTCCCGTAACTCGTTGGATGGAAGTATTCAAAGTCAACAATCTTCAACATAATTGTTTTAATCGAATATATTTTATGTCTACCTGGTACGAATGCTCCGGTAGAAAGAGTATTTTTTTATTTTGAATAAATTGTGGACGTCTGAAAGAAACACTTACGGTTCCAGAGTTCTAAAGGCGATGTTGTTAACAAAGATAACAATAAAAAAACTTGAGCAGAATTTTATTCTTATTTAAAATCATCTCCAACTTTATTAAAGCAAATTTAATCCACTGACAAATGTAATTAATAATTAAAAAAAATATGTTGCATTTAATAATTGCCGTATATACCGAATATAATTTTATAGTGAACACTAATTGTATAAAGTTATAGTTTTTAGAGTATAAATAAACCCATATCCTGTTTTGAGTTAAAAAATAAATGGTCAGTTTAGTCTTTTTGGTCAAATTTAGTTTTAAAAATTTTTAGTTAATAGTAATAAGTAGGTATAATAGTACCTACTTAGATACTTTTTACCGAATTATAAGTATAGAACACCTTATGTACTCAATTATTTTTTGAAAAAGAAGAAAAAACAAGCAATAAATAATATACTATATTTTAGCAAAAAACTGTAACTTAGTAATACTAATTATAACTTAGAACATAAATGAAAAACTCATAACTGACTTTTTGGCCCGACCCAGGATTCGAACCCGGGACCTCATGATCAGCAGTCGCACTACTACAACCACTAGACCAACGAGGCAGTACTATACCTAATAAGATATTGTGGTTGGGTGATAATATTTAATTAGCCTTTTATAGTGTAAATTATAATATTTGTCGAAATTTTAATTATGGATTCAAACCTTACATGCTAATGGTGCTTCATTTTTTTATTTGCATTTATTTCAAAGAAAATACACGCAAAAAGCTTCATTGCGCAGTAAAAACACAACAAATATATGTATAACTAATACGAAAAATATACTATACTATACCCAAAACAAACAAATAATACTACCTATAAATAACCTAATAAGTAATAATATTATCGACTGATTTGACGTGAGCGTATGTGCTGGTCGACGCTCTAACGACACGGGCTTCACGTCGAAGAGCTCAGCGCTCACTGACTTCAGCAAGCCCGTGAGTAGTGAATATGCCCAGATTTTAAAATAATTTTTTTTTTATAGTCTAAGGGTGACAAACGAGCACACAGTCCACCTGATGGTAAGTGGTTGCTGTGGCCCATAGACATCTACATCTATCCTCTGTTACAAATCAAAATGTAGATGCGTTGTCACCCGTGAGGACTAAAATGGAATGCCTCATTTCCAGTAAAAAGGGCCTCCGGCCACCTGCACTCACCAAGCGAAACGCAGAGGTAAACTCTTCTTCACGCTGGTTTTCTGTGAGGTCGTGGTACTACCCCGGTTCGAGCCGGCCCATCCGTGCGACAGCAAAAGCTGCCGCGTGGCTCTACCACTGTTAAAATAATTTCTTAATAAAATCAAATTTTGGTCTTTTGAAAAAACATTTACTATAGAAATGTTCATTAATAAATTGCCTATCCATTGGTGTAAATCGCAAAATAAAATAATACTTACTTTACGAGGAGATGCATGTTATCAATAATAATTTCACATTTATGTGGTTTCGTTGTAAGGAGATTATATTAATATCTATTCCTTTAAAAAAATTGGATATAGCTTTTATGGAATCAAGATTATGTAGAAATATAATGTGTTTTTTATTTGTTGATATATCTTTTAAATAAAAAGTAGATAGCTCCTAAATACCGCACAAATAACGACTAGCGCGACATTTTGCTCAACCTGCGCCTTAAGATGAACATGGACAAAACAAAGATAAATGTCCATGTCACACCTATGCTGGTAGTTATTGGGAGCACTAAGCTCGAATTTGTTGACGAGTATGTTTACCTGGGACAAATAGTCTGACTAGGTAAGTCCTACTTCAACCGAGAGGTCAATCGACGGATTCAACTCGAGCGTTCGGGAGATTACAACATATCTTTTCATCAGGTATACCTCTAAATCTGAAAATGGGATTGTACAACCATTGCGTGTTGCCAGTGATGACTTATGGATCTGAAACGTGGTCCATCACTGCTGGCCGTATTAGGAAGCTCAAGGTCACTCAGCGAGCTATGGAGAGGGCTATGCTCGGGGTTTTTCTGCGTGATAAACTTAGAAAGAACC